TTTTTCTTGCGTTATGCGGGCCTCTCACTGTTGTGGCCTCTCCCATTTGCGGAGCACAGGCTCCGGACGCGCAGGCCCAGCGGCCATGGCTCACGGGCCCAGCCGCTCCGCGGCATGCGGGATCCTCCCGAAACGGGGCACGAACCCGCGTCCCCTGCATCGGCAGGCGGACTCTCAAGCACTGCGCCACCAGGGAAGCCCCCCCATTGTTTTTTGGTGCCTGTCCCCAGCGGCTAAGGTTTGTTCCGTGGGTTGTGTAGGATTTCTGGTGGAGGGGAATAGCACCTGTGTTCTGGTGGATAAGGGTGGATTTTGTCTTTCTGGTGGGCAGGTCCACATCTGGTGGTGTGTTTTGGGGTGTCTGTGGCCTTATTATGATTTTAGGCAGCCTCTCTGCTAATGGGTGGCATTGCGTTCCTGTCTTGCTAGTTGTTTGGCATAGGGTGTCCAGCACTGTAGCTTGCTGGTCGTTGAGTGAAGCTGGGTCTTGGCATTGAGATGGAGATCTCTGGGAGATTTTCGCCGTTTGATATTACGTGGAGCCAGGAGGTCTCTTGTGGACCAGTGTCCTGAAGTTGGCTCTCCCACTTCAGAGGCACAGCACTGACTCCTGGCTGCAGTACCAAGAGCCTTTCATCCACACAGCTCAGAATAAAAGGGAGAAAAAATGAAAGAAAGAAAGAGAGAGAGAGAGGGAGAGAGAGAGAGAGAAAGAAAGGAAGGAAGGAAGGAAGGAAGGAAGGAAGGAAGGAAGGAAGGAAGGAAGAAGATAAAATAAAATAAAGTGAAATAAAATAAAGGTATTAAAATAAAAAATAATTATTTAAAAGAAATTTTTTAAAGTAAAAAAACAAAACCAAAAATGGATGGAGAGAACCCTAGGACAAATGGTAAAAGCAAAGCTATACTGACAAAATCACACACAGAAGCATACACATACAAACTCACAAACAGAGGAAAGGGGAAAATATATATATATCTTCGCTCCCAAAGCCCACCTCCTCGATTTGGGATGATTTGTTGTCTATTCAGGTATTCCACAGATGCAGGCACATCAAGTTGATTGTGGAGCTTTAATCCGCTGCTTCTGAGGCTGCTGGGAGAGATTTCCCTTTCTCTTTGTTCTCACAGCTCCCAGGGGCTCAGCTTTGGATTTGGCCCCGCCTCTGCGTGCAGGTCTCCTGAGAGCGTCTGTTCTTCGCTCAGACAGGAAGGGGTTAAAGGAGCCGCTGATTCCGGGGCTCTGGCTCACTCGCACCAGGAAACAAAGAGGCAAGAAAAAGTCTCTTGCCTCTTCGGCAGGTCCAGACTTTTCCCCAGGCCCCCTCTCGGCTAGCCGTGCTGCACTAACCCCTGCAGGCTGTGTTCACGCAGCCCACCCCAGTCCTTTCCCTGCGCTCCGACCGAAGCCCGAGCCTCAGCTCCCAGCCCCGCCCTCCCCGGTGGGTGAGCAGACAAGCCTCTAGGGCTGGTGGGTGCTGGTCGGCACCAATCCTCTGCTCCCAGCCCCGCCCGCCCCGGCAGGTGAGTGGCTGGTGAGTGCCGGTCGGCCCTGATCCTCTGTGCGGGAATCTCTCTGCTTTG